TTTTTTTTTTTTTTTCTTTAGCAGAGGTTGAACTCTCATATGATTCATTTAAGTTAGGAATAAGCCCGAACATCTAGAGAACTTAAAATCAAATGGAAGTTTATCTCACTTTATACATTGGATGTGAAAGTCAGGTGTAAGTAAAATTAGAATTCCATGTAACTGCAATATAGAAAAAACCTGTATGGAATCTCATTTTGGAACAACAGCAACAACAAATCTTCTGATGACAGCCTCTTGTTAATTTCTGGTCCATGCATTCCTTATTCTTATGTGTTCTTACACTTGGGGATTCTAGAATACACACCGTCCATTTCTTTCTAGCCATGGGTATAGAGTTGCCAGTTTTAACAAACAAAAATATAGGACACCCGGTTAAATTTGAATTTTATGTAACTCACGCATTTTTAGTACTTCTGTTCCCAAGTAATTCATTGTTTACCTGAAATTCAGGTTTAACTAAGTGTCCTCCATACCGTGTGATCACCCTACCTGGGTGGGCGGGAGGTGGAAGGATTTCTAAGGCCAAGACCTGATCAGCTGATTCTATGAATATTTCATTTCAGAGGCATCAACCCAGGACTTGAGCCCTCATCCCCTGCTTCATCACTTAGGTCTCTTGTTTGTTTATCTTGTACCCGCACGCCACCCTTGATGTTCACCGAGGTGCCAAAGCTGGAGCCGTGCATCCTCCTGCTTCTTAGCTGGAGGAAGCAGTGTCTACACTAGGTGAAGATCCTTCTTGGTTCTGCTGTTCCTACAGGTGAAGGTCACTGTCCTGGCTGATAATGACCCCAGCTCTGTTTCACTACCTCCTGCAGGTCTCCACTGGCTATCGAAGAAGGGCCGCCATGCCAGCTAAGCTTAACGAAATGAATGTTCTTCACTCCTTGCCTTGTGTCTCCTATCGCCCTAGATGTGCCCTGACCCAGTGATGCCCCGGTGTCCAGGAGCACTTAGGAGAGTAGCTCCTAGTTCTACACTGGACATCGGCAGAGTCTGCCATACTTGCCCAACCCCCCAAAGACTTCATCTCAGTACAACTCTATCTTCCCCCTTCTCCTTAGGGATAAACCCCAAGAATCCTCTGAGAGCTTCCTGCATTTTACCTTTTCTTATCATGTTTTAGGTGGTTATCACCCTCTATGGATCAGAGGGGCAGAGGGAGACCCATCACCTTTGTGACCCCGAGAAGGCAGTCTTTCTTTGAGCCAGAGCGTCTGGATATCTTTCTCCTCAGTACTCAGTCCTCTTGAGGGGAACTGCACAGCCTGTGGTTCTGGCATGACGATTCGGGGGCCAGCCCTTCTCGGTAAGTCCCTGCGTCAGGCTGCCTTGGCCTTTCTCCTCCGTGGATCTGCAGCGTTCTGGGCAAGACCAGCATGCCATCACAACAAATGACAATAATGCTTTGGCCAAATTGTAACCAATGACTGTTAGATTTAAATTTCAAAGCTCAGGGTGCCTGGGTGGCTCAGTCAGTTAAGCATCCAACTTTAGCTCAAGTCATGCTCTTACAGTTCATGGGTTCAAGCCCTGCATCAGGCTCTGTGCTGACAGCTCAGAGCCTGGAGCTTTTCTCAGATTCTGTGTCTCACTCTCTCCCCCTCCCCTGCTCGTGCTCTCTCTCTGTCTTTCAAAAATGAATAAACATTAAAAAGAAAATATTTAAAAAAAAATAAATTTCAAAACATTTACAAAGAAGAAACCCTGCAAAGAAATATGGGAAGTTAACAATATAATTTTGTATGGGTGATTAAGTGATGGGTGGTTTTTTTTCTTTTATCTTCATTTAATATTGTCATGATTGTAAAAACAGCAAATAACAACCACTTACTGCCCCAAAGTGTTATAAATTAAAAGTACCTATAAAAGATTAAATGTAATGAATGACTATTCACTACGTATACTTGGGGTAAAAATTAAGAGCTTGAAGGAAAGAATAGAAGAATCATGTTATGGGATGTGCCCAGGGGGCTAGAGAGGGAAAAGGTCAGTGATGAGTGCATGAACCTGATGTGTGCGAGGTCCACATGACCTGTTTTTCTCCAGCAGCAGGCGGAGTGAGAAGAGGTGGGTGGAGAGAGTAATGGTGAAATTAACTAAGGACCAAGATGATTGGTTGTTTGGGGTTTGGGAAAAAGAAGGGAATGAAGTCAAAGGTCTAAGGCCCAGGTGTTCAAATTGTTGCTGAATATTGTCCACCTGAAAAGGGTGTACAGCTTGCCTGTTTGTCAGCAAAATGAGTCTTTCCCTGCTATGCTAACCACTAGGCCAGTAGAGTCTAATAATTTGCTTGCTGTCCCCACTCTGTTCAGGCATCTAACAGAGCAGCTTGTACACTATCATTCCAGTTTGATTATAATGGTGAATAATGTGTAATAAGCGCTTGAAGAAATGCTTAACTTTGCTAGTCATCAAGGAATGCAAAGTAAAGCCACAGTGAGAGCACTAAACATCCACCAGAATAACTAGAATTAAAAAGTCTGACAAAACCAAGTTTGGGTGAAGTTGGAGGCAACTGGGACTCAAAAGCAATGCTGGGAGCACAAAACAGTGCAGCCACGTGGGAGAACAGTTTGGCAAGGCTTGTAAAGTTGAATAGACCTTTACCATCTGACCCAGAAATTGCACTCCCAGGTATTCACCCAAGAGAAATGAAAACATATGTCCATTGCAAAATGTATACACATTCGTTCATAGCAGTTTTACTAATAGCTGTTCAAAACTAGAAACAACACATAAAAAAAATTTTTTAAAAAACTAGAAACAACACAAGTGTCCATCAGGTGAATGAATAAGCAAGTATTAGCATGTTCATTTAATGGAATACTACTCACCAAGAAAAAGAACAATCTACTGATACACACAGTAACATGGATGAATCTCAAAAATGTTATGCCAAGCAAAAGAAGCCAGAACAAAAGAAAACATGCTGTATGATTCTACATATATGAAATTCTAAAACAGGCAAACTAGTGCAAGAGACAGAAAGCAGATCAGCGGCCACCTGGGGCCAGGGGTGAGTCTGAGGGGGGTTGACTGCAAAGGGACACAAGGGGACTTTTGGCAGTGATAACTTGGCAGTGGTGGTACTTACACAAGTGTTCACATTATGAAAAATGTGTTGGACTGGGGGTTCCTAGATGGCTCAGTTAGAAAAGTGTGCAACTCTTGATCTCGGGGTTGCGAGTTTAAGCCTCATCTCGGGTGTGGAGGTTGCTAAAATAAATTAAAGACCTAAAAAACTGTACTGAACTGTACCTTTTATTCATTTTTTTAAGTAGACTTCACAGGCTCAAAACCCTGAGATCAAGACCTAAACTGAGATCAAGAGCTGGGCACTTAGTCACCTGAGCCACCCAGGCATCCCTTGACCTGTATGTTTAAATGGGTGCCTTTTATCATATGTAAATTATACCACAATAAGGTTTTTGTTTTGTTTTGTTTTGTTTTGTTTTTGGTACAGCACCAGGGGGGGAAGGACAGAGGGAGAGGAAGAGAGAGACTCTCAAGCAGGCTCCCTGCCCAGCGCAGAGCCTGACATGGGGCTCAATCTCACAACCTTGAGATTATGATCTGAGCCAAAATCAAGAGTCGGATGCTTAATGAACTGACCCACCCAGGCACCCCCACAATAAATTTTTTTAAGTATGCATGTAGAAAAAATTCTAGAGTTATATATACTAAGTATTACCAATAATTATCTCTGAGTAGTAGGCTTATAAATTTTAAAATTGTTTCTTCATTATATTTTTAGATATTTTCAAAGAAATGTTAAGAGTGTATTTATTTTGGGAGAGAGCGGGGAGGGGCAGTGAGAGCGGGAGAGAGAGAATCCCAAGCAGGCTCTGTCCATGCTTTCATCACAGGGCTTGATGGGGGCTCGAACTCACAAACCATGAGATCACGATCTGAGCCAAAGTCGGACACTCAACCAACTGAGCCACCCAGGCGCCCCTGCATTCTGGTTTTGATACATGAATTCTCTTAGAGGTTGCAAAGGAAGAAATTGGATCAGCTTTTGTTTCTTTGTCTAGTTCTTGCCTCACAATGAAAAGAATCCATTTACTGATAGTGCAAGATTACTTCTTGTTACAACAACTGGTTCATGCCCACCTCCCTACCATGCTTATCTTCATTTTACTATAGGTATGGAAACCGGGTAATTGCCAGTGACGTGGCAGGTAAAAGGAAATGGCACTTCCTGTCCAACTGTTGGCTGGCCATGGACCTTGGAGAGAGTGAGCATGACCGGGTCTTCAAACCAGTCTCAAAGAAAGAACTCTTTTCCTTTAGGTATTGGTGGAGAAATGGTGGTGTTCCACAAGTCTCTGAGGCTCTGTTCATTTTTCTTCATCCTCCGTTGCTCAGACTGGATAATTCCAATTGACCCATCTTCGGGTTTCTGCTTTTTTCTGCCTGCTCAGATCTGCTGTAGAGCCTTTCATTTCACTTAATGTATTTTTCAACTGCAAACTTTCTGTTTGGTTCTTTTAAAAAAATAATTTTTAGGGATGCGTGGGTGGCTCAGTTGGTTGAGTGTCCAACTTCAGCTCGGGTCATGATCTCATAGCTCATGAGTTCGAGCCCCACGTGGGGCTCTCTGCTGACAGTGCAGAGCCAGCTTGGGATCCTGTCTCCCTTTCTCTGCCCCTCCCCCATTTGCAGTCTGTCTCTCAGAAAAAAACATTTTAAAAATAATAATAATTTCTGTGTGTTTATTGATATTTTCTATTTGGGAAAACACCATTCTCATTTACTTTCCTTTAGTTCTTTAGACATAGTTTCCTTTAATTCTTTGAACACATTTAAAATAGCTGATTTAAAGGCTTTTTCTAGTGTATCCAGTGTCTTGGCTTTCTCAGGAACAGTGTATTGATTACTCTGTGTGTGTGTGCCTGTGTGTGTGCACACACACAGGCACACACACACACACAAGCCATACTTGGTTGTTTTTTAGTGTCTTGTGATCTTTTGTTGAAAACTGGACATTTTATTATTTTTTTTTTCAACGTTTATTTATTTTTGGGACAGAGAGAGACAGAGCATGAACGGGGGAGGGGCAGAGAGAGAGGGAGACACAGAATCTGAAGCAGGCTCCAGGCTCCGAGCCATCAGCCCAGAGCCCGACGCGGGGCTCGAACTCACGGACCGCGAGATCGTGACCTGGCTGAAGTCGGTCGCTTAACCGACTGCGCCACCCAGGCGCCCCTGGACATTTTATTATTTAAAAATTCTTTTTTTAATCTTTATTTATTTTTGAGAAAAAGAGACAGAGTGTGAGTGGGGGAGAAACAGAGAGAGAGGGAGACACAGAATCCAAAGCAGGCTCCAGACTCCGAGCTGTGAGCACAAAGCCCAACACGGGGCTCGAACCCACCAACCACGAGATCATGACCTGAGCTGAAGTCAGACGCTCAACCGACTGAGCCACCCAGGCACCCCAAAAACTGGACATTTTAAATAATAGAATGTGGCAACTCTGGAAATCAGATATTCTTCCCTTTCCCTGGGATTTGTTGTTCTCTAACACAAATTTGTTGTTGTTGTCTGTTTCATGACTTCTCTGAATGAATTCTGTATCCTTTGTCATGGCGTGCAGCTGAAGTGTCTGCCCAGTTAGTCTGGAGGTCAGCTAAAGTTTGGATAGAGATTCCCTAAACACCTGGAGCCAGTAAGTCTCCCGGTCTTTGCCAAGGGGATTTGTGTGCATGTTGTGTCATACCCTCAGCCCTCAGCAAGGCACCGGCCAGCTCTGCCTTGGTCTTCACTTCCTGCTTGCTGAGAGCCTCAATATCATGCAGGGGTGAGGGCTCAGGACGTTCTCTGGCATCTCCTGAGCCCACACACAGCCCTGGATTCCCAGCAGTTATGTCAGAGCTTTCAAAATTCCTGCAGACTTCTTGTTTCCCAGTTTCTTTTCAGTTTTTTGGTTAGCCTGTTGTTCACCCACCATGGCAGGCAGCTATGAAGGTAAACAGTTGCCTCTGAGTATATTTTTAAAATTTTTGTTAATGTGTATTTATTTTTGAGAGAGAGACACACACAGAACATGAACAGGAGAGGAGCAGAGAGAGGAGACACAGAATCCAAAGCAGGCTTCAGGCCCTGAGCTGTCAGCACAGAGCCCAACACAAGGCTCGAACTCAGGAACCGTGAGATCGTGACCTGAGCTGAAGTTGCCACTTAACCCACTGAGCCACCCACGTGCCCCGCCTCTGAGAATTTTTCACAGTGCCCTCAGGGGAAAAGCTTTTCGAAGCTAGTGAATACCCAGTCAGGTCAAGTAAGGACAGCCTTGCAAGTGGGGTTTTCCTGGGAACTACCAGACAGCTCAGATCATCACAGTTCTCTGGGAAGGAGACCTTAAAGGAGCTCCAGTCCTGTTCTGCCTTCTTTTTAGTGGCCCCTGGCTTTCTCTGTGATTAAAGGCTGTCAGGTCACCGTAGAGCTAGAGAAAGGGAGATGGGAACAGGGCAAGTGACAGTGCCACAGAGATAACTGCTTTTACCGATACTCATTCATTTTTCGTTTTTCTTTTTTTAGTTTTGTTTTTTATTTTTTAAAACTTACATCTGAATTAACATATTGTGAAACGATGATTTCAGGAGTAGATTCCTTAGTGCCCCTTACCCATTTAGCCCATCCCCCCTCCCACAACCCCTCCAGCAACCCTCAGTTTGTTTTCCATATTTATGAGTCTCTTCTGTTTTGTCCCCCTCCCTGTTTTTATATTATTTTTGTTTCCTTCCCCTTATGTCCATCTGTTTTGTCTCTTAAAGCCCTCATATGAGTGAAGTCGTATGATTTTTGTCTTTCTCTGACTAATTTCACTTAGCATAATACCCTCCAGTTCCATCCACGTAGTTGCAAATGGCAAGATTTCATTTTTTTCAATTGCCGAGTAATACTCCATTGTGTGTATATATACCACATCTTCTTTATCCATTCATCCATTGATGGACATTTGGGCTCTTTCCATACTTTGGCTGTTGTGGATAGTGCTGCTATAAACATGGGGGTGCATGTGTCCCTTCGAAACAGCACACCTATATCACGTGGATAAATGCCTAGTAGTACAATTGCTGGGTCATAGGGTAGTTCTATTTTTAGTTTTTTGAGGAACGTCCATACTGTTTTCCAGAGTGGCTTACCAGCTTGCATTCCCACCAACAGTGCAAAAGAGATCCTCTTTCTCTGCATCCTCGCCAACATCTGTGGTTGCCTGAGTTGTTAATGTTCGCCATTCTGACAGCCATTTTAATGACTATATGTTTCAGTTATAAGATTTCTAACTAATTTTATTTCTGTTTCTCAGAATTTTTTATTCTTTTTAAGTGAATGCTATGCCTTGATTCGTCTCTTTGAGCAACCTGAAATACTTATTTTGAAGTCTTTGTCAGACTGTCCCATAAAATTAATTTCTTCAGGACTGAATTATTGATTGTTTTGGTTGCCTTTCTCTGCATTTGATTTCTTCCTGAGTTTAGGAATTTGGGATCATAAGTTTATTTGGGGGGGGGGTATTGTTAAATTTCTTTCTCTCTCCCTCATCCCTGACTAGTAGTCTTGTTGCTGTTTCCATGTAACTCTTCACATGGCTAGTCTAGAATTAGGCCTTATTATATTACAGTATTTTGGATCTCCTATTCCTCAGTAGAATTGACAAAGCTAGGGCTCTTGCAGATTTTGTCTGGAACGAGTGGATTTCTTGGCTCAATTCCTGGTTATGGGGCTGTCCTTTTTCCGCCCACCTCCTTACCCATAAATTGGCAGTTTATTGTTCTGTAGTCTCCCTTCATGAGCTCCAGCCTGAACCTGGGCTCCAAGCAGTGAAGTTGGCTTTACTCTCCCTACCCCACCCTATGAAATACTTTCATTTCCAATTACCTTGGAAGAACCAAACTCCTGCCTACATACTGCTTTCTTCTGGAGCCCAGAAATCTTCCCTGCTCATCTCCATGTTTTTTTTCATTCCATTTCTCCTCCTCATAGATGTTTATCTTGTTTTGAAACCCAGCCAATATTTTTGGCTCTTCCTTTTTTTCTTTTAAATGTTTGTTTATTTATGTTGAGAGTGTGTGCATGCATGCAGAGAGAGGGAAAGGGAGAATCTCAGGCAGGCTCCACACTGTCAGTGAAGAGCCTGATGTGGGGCTGAATCCCACCACTGTGGGATCATGACCTGAGCTGAAATCAAGAGTCAGTCACGTAACCAACTGAGCTAACCAGGCGTGCCTTTGGTTATTTCTTTTTTTTTTTTTTTTTTTTTTTTTTTTTTTTTAGTTTTTTTTTTAACATTTATTTATTTTTGAGACAGATAGAGACAGAGCATGAGCAGGGGAGGGTCAGAGAGAGAGGGAGACACAGAATCCAAAACAGGCTCCAGGCTCTGAGCTGTCAGCCCAGAGCCCGATGCGGGGCTCGAACTCACAGACCGTGAGATCATGACCTGAGCCAAAGTTGGACGCCCAACCGACTGAGCCACCCAGGCGCCCCTGGTTATTTCTTTTTATGCCTTATTTATAGTTCGTCCACATTTGGAGAAGAGAAGGGGCTCAAATTATAAATTTACCAAACTATGTTGAGTGGAAGCCCAATGCAAACTTGTGAAGAGTAAAAGATTTATCAAAACTCTTAGACAGCTAAAAGAACCGTTGTTTTTTTTTTTTTAAACAAGTTTATTTATTTTAAAGAGACAGAAAGCACAAGTTGGGGAGAGGCATAGACAGAGGGCAAGAGAGAGAATCCCAAACAGGCTCCTCACTGTCAGTGCAGAGCCCAATGCAGGGTTCGAACCCATAAACCATGAGATCATGACCTGAGCCAAAGTCAGACACTTAACACACTGAGCCACCCAGGCACCCCGCTCAGCACTTCTTGTTGGACTGTGCTCAGTTCTTTATATGCTCACCACAGTCCTGTGATCTGGAAAATATTATTAGCCCTTTTTTTACGGATCAGGAAACTGAGGTTTGGAGAAGTTAAATTAATTTTACTGAGATCGAGGGGACAATATGTTTCAGGTTTAAAAGAACTGTTTTTAATTTTAAACTCTCATACAATATAAATTAACCTTATCCTTGACAGCCTTTTGTCCTAAAGCTACAAAAGAATCATGTTGCCATGAATTTGAAAGTCTTCATAGAGGTGTTGGATACTGGCCTAGTTGTTGGTGTAAGCGTGTTGCCGGGCAAACCGCCCCTTAGTCTAGGATGCTGTCGGAATGAAGTCTCACTTCTGTCCTTTTCTAATTTCTCTTCTTAGACACCTGTTTTCCTCCATGATTGTAGGAAAGCTCACCCAGGATCATCTGTGGCTCGGAGAACCAGTTTACAAGAGTCCAGAGGCTCTCTTGCTGCATGACCTTGCTTCCGTGCGACATGGTCGTCACCGTCACGTTCTGGAGGAAAACTGGCACCACTGCCCAGAGAGATGAGCACGGTATGGGTGAGCCCGACGTGTGGCCTTTGTAGTGTGTGGTCCTCTTAAAGCGCTGCACTCTTCTTCCTTGCAGGGTCAGAAACACAATCCTGATGTGCCTTTGTTTTTTCCTTCGCTACTCTAACACTTGAATACTCTTAACAGGTTTCCTCAGGGCTCCCATTCGTTAGTGAATGAAGCAGCCTTAGGAACATATCGGGATCTTTACTGCCATGAAGATGTCCTGTCCTTAGATAGTCATGGTTAAATTGCCAAACAGATGGCTAAAGCTAGGAGAGGAAGGAGTCTGAGATGATTTCCGCTCTTGAGGATACAGGTTGACGTGATGTTCTTCTTCCAGTGGGTCCATTGCTATGACCTGGTCCCAACTGTTCATCACCATCCAAACCGCTGTCTTCCTCTTCCCTGTCAGTCTCGAAATCGGGAGGCTCTTCCTGCTGATCTAGCCTCAGGAACCCCTGCCTCTTTTTCCTTCCGACCAGGCTTCCTGCCTCTCAGATGCTCCTTGTGAGCCTCTGTCTCACAGAGGTGACTGAAGTAAGCTTGGTATCTAACTGTATAGGTAGATGCTGGGCCCTGTTTCCCCATGTAGCAGGAAAGGCCAGCAGAGGGGATCTCCTGGAAGGCTCATGGGGTCCTATTAATCTTGATAGCTTTTCCCTAATTTCTGTCCTCTGGGCCACAATGCATCATGCCCCTTGTTTCTCCTCTTTTTTTTTTTTTTTTTTTTTTAATGTTTATTTATTTATTTATTTTTAATTTTTTTTTCAACGTTTATTTATTTTTGGGACAGAGAGAGACAGAGCATGAACGGGGGAGGGGCAGAGAGAGAGGGAGACACAGAATCGGAAACAGGCTCCAGGCTCTGAGCCATCAGCCCAGAGCCCGACGCGGGGCTCGAACTCACGGACCGCGAGATCGTGACCTGGCTGAAGTCGGACGCTTAACCGACTGCGCCACCCAGGCGCCCCGATGTTTATTTATTTTTGAAAGAGAGAGAGAGTGAGCGGGAGTTGGGGCATAGAGAGAGGGAGACACAGAATCTGAAGCAGGTTCTAGGCTCTGGGCTGTCAGTACAGAGCCCGATGCTGGACTTGAACTCACAAACCACGAGATCATGACCTGAGCTGAAGTCGGACACTTAACCGACTGAGCCACGCATGCACCCTTTTGTTTCTCCTCTTAATGGTGAAGTATTGTGAGGACAGGATGTGAATGTAGAAGGTACTATTCTGGAATTTTCATTTTTGATGTTTGAGCAAATGGTCCAATCTTTCATTCTGTATTCTCCTAAAACTAGTTTTATTTTCTTTTTTTAAATTTCTATTTTAGGGGAGCCTGCGTGACTCAGTCGGTTAAGTGTCCGACTTCAGCTCAGGTCATGATCTTGCCAATCGTGGGTTTGAACCCCATGTCAGGCTCTGTGCTGACAGGTCAGAGCCTGGAGCCTGCTTCGGATTCTGTGTTTCCCTCTCTCTCTGCCCCTCCCCTGGGGTG